GTACGTATCGCCCCAGTTTCGGCACTTACAGCCTCACTAAGGCTCGTGACCCTGCAAACAGAGCTTCGAATAATTTTGAGTAGTCCTTGATGTACTGCAGTTGTGCTGCAACATGCAGTAGCTACTCTTTAGTCGTACGATCACCGTACTCTTTTAACATACTTCAAAGCGCAGGCGTTGATCATAAGGGTCCCTATATGGATCTTCCTGCGTAGTTAGAAGTGGGGTCTAAAAGTCGCGTAACTATGATTATAACCCATATTATGGGATTCACAACTGCCCATGAGCATCCAAGTAGATAAGCTTGCAAACCCTGCCGTGGTTTTGGGGCTTTGGGTCTTAAATGTTGGGATGACTGTTCCTTTCCCACAGGGTCCTCAGTACCGATGTCGGGGATACTTAGCCAAACATAATATAGTAGTTCCTTCTAGGGACCCCCTCCATTCTACCCCTAGACCCTAAACCTTAAACCCTAAACCCTAAACCCTAAAGCTAAGCCCTACCATATAGGTACTTGGGACCAGCTGTTGGGTGCTGATCCGGGCCATGGACACACACGTAAGCGGGCTTCTTCAGACGTTGATCCGGGGTTTCATGCCTCATACTGGGACGACATTCGAGTTCTTTAACGTAGGTGCGTACAGACAGACAAACAGACTTACATGCGTTACGTATAAATGTGTGTATACAAAGGCAGGTCGGTACACACCTCGACCAATACTCATGGCCAGCCTGTGCGGCTTCAAGATTTCGAAAATCGAACCTGGTCATTTAAGGAAGGACGCCGGCGCGAGGCCGGCAATGTGAGTCGATTGAGAAAGCCTTTCTCGCAGTAGGATGCAGTAGCTACGCTCAATGGAGGCCGAATTGTATCACCACCAACTGATCTCTGCTATTCTAGGAACAATCGGGCTCTCAAGCTTGTGCCACACTTGTCGTGAGCACCCTAAACGCCCTAAATCCTAAACTCTAGACTAAACCCTAAACGTACCATTGGGCAGATCATAATCGCGGGATCCGCCAGCATCACCAAACTGAGCGTACTCCTGGCCCTCGAAAAGCCGAAGCACTGTACTTGTCTCGGGCTTAGGGTTTAGGGTTTAAACCCTAAACCCTAAACTAAGCTCGTTCAGTACTTCAACCTGTATGGCTTCCACGGAGGGCAGCAAGTGGGGTCCAAGTAGGTCGGAAATAGCTTCAACCATCACATCAAGTATAAACTGTAGAATCTTGCTTTATCCACCCCTTCCCGCTCCCCGTTTGCACCGCTACTTTCTGCTATGGTCTCGCCTCGGCGGTGGTGGTGGTGGTGGTGGTGGTTGTGGTGGTGGTGGGGGTGGTGGTCCAGCATGCACGCAGAAAGTGTCAGGACGATGTACCCCCTAAACGTTGTCCCTATCCCTTGGCCTCAAAGCCTGGAAATACCGCTCCTGTTGTAAAGTTCCAAACACCTCAACACTGAATCCCGAACACCGAAATCAATCATAAACTTGATTAGGCGTCGTCAAACTTGTTTTAGAACCCTCTGAAAAGTGTACTAAAGAAATTCAGACCATTTGTTGGAAACCCGAAGCAAAGGCCCTAAACCCCGTATTGGGGCAGGCCGTGTTCGTGGGATGTGTGTCTTTGGCATCCTCCGTGGGTCGCGTGCCTCGCCTCAAGTCCAAGCGCTACACTTAAACCATCAAGGGTTGTAGGTGTAGGGTTTAGGGTTTAGGGTTTAGGGTTTAGGGAGGGCCGTGTGGGGCCTTCTGGGCTTTAGGACGTTAGGGGCTTGCGAGTAGGGTAAACAAGCAGAATTACATGGGGTTTGCGGAATTGGGCTTGGAGTGGACCCGACAGCCCACTGTATTGAGGGCTCTAGTGTTGTCGCAGGGTTTGGGGCTACAGGTGAGCCCTTTAATTCATAGCAATCCGACAGTAGCAGCTCCTGCGAAGCCTTGATTCAACAAGCCCCCCTAAACCCTAAACTCTAAACCCTAAGCAGGCCCACTTAGTCTTAAGGTCCTTCTACAAGCCTCACTTGGTCACGACACTTTGGGTTTAGGGCCTAGGGGAATTAGGATTTCGGGGTTTGGGCCTTGGGGGCTCTGGGGGTTTTGGGGCTTTAGGGTATTTTTTGGGAAAAAATTGACCTTCTAGATTCCCTCAAAACCAACACCCAAGCCAGAAACTGAACCCTACTGTGAACAGCAAGACTCTGGATGGCAAACCCTAGGCACTAAACCCGGGCTTTCACAAACCTTGAATCCCCAAAATTAGAAAGCCTGGCGGGCTGCATGTCTTCTACAGCTCAAAGAGTTAGCACCCACGCGTTACGACGGTTGCGATTCACGATTTGGGTAGTTCTCTAAATTAGGGTGTCTTTTTGTATCTGCAAAACTTTGCGGCACCCTTGTATAATAGGACCCTGAAAGGGAGCGTAAACTAGAAAACTACCCAGGTCGCAGGACTATGAATGAAGTTGCAGGTCGGGGTTCTAGGCTTTAGGGTTTCGGGTTTCTGGTTTCAGGATTTAGGGTCTAGGGTTTCGGGTGTCTGGTTTAAGGATTTAGGGTCTAGAGTTTATTTGGCTGTTCTGGCCTTCAGACATTCAGGCCCTACAAATCCTGCAGTCAAGGCAGCCCTAAACCCTAAACCCTATAGGTTTGTAGGGTTTAGGATATGGTTTTAACCCCCAAAACTCTCATCTGCTAGTTCGTTTTTGGTGTCTAGACCCCCCTCCCCCGAACACTCACGGTCCTCGCGACCAGTATGGTTTAGGGTGTAGGGCTAAGTAATAGGCTTAGAAAGGGTTCAGGGTTTGGAATTCAGGCTTCAGTTTGTCAAATTAGGGTTTATATAGATTACACGGTTGAGGGTTTAGGGTTCAGGGTTTAGGTTAGGGCTTCGCGGGTTCAGGGTTTAGGGTTTAGGGCTTTGCGGGTTCAGGGTCTAGGGTTTATCCACCCCAACGAAACTCCTAAACTCTAAATCCTTCAACATCCCTAAAGCCTAAAGGAACCCAAAACCTGAGTCCTGAAGAAAAAGCAAAGGGTTTAGGGTTTAGGGTTTTAGGGTTTAGGGTTTTAGGGTTTAGGGTTTAGGGTTTTAGGGTTTTAGGGCTTTAGGGCTTTAGGGTTCTACGGTTTAGGGTAGCGCAGGAGGATCCCAAATCTGCCCTTAGCAACGACCGGCACCCGGGGTCTCAACAAAGACCCTCAGCAGGCAGGGCTACTGTTGATGATGTAAATCCTGCATTACCTTAAGGACCCTAGACTATGGGAGTTATATGGTATATTCCCTGTTAAGGGTAATGCAGGATTTATATCATCAACCGTATCACGCCAGCAAATGCGAATGCGACCATGAACATACTGCTACGGATAACAGTTGGTGTTTAGTCAAGATCATGAGTACGAACATCGTAATGATAGCCTATAGCCATATGTTAATAAACATAGTAACCTACAGCACTACTTATGACAACGCTAGTAATAGTACTGGTAGTTGCAGCTGCAATACCACTAGTAGGAGTGACCAAGCGACTAAACGTGCTGATGACCATTTGCTATATCCCGAACCCTAAACCCCATGATTCCTACAAGCTCTACCTTAAACTACCAGAACCCTACCTTTTTTTTGTGTAGGTTCTCTTGTTAAAGCCGAATATAAAGGGCTTTCGGGACCCTCAGTGAAGTAGGTTTTGGTAGTTCACGGTAAACCCCACAGTCCCTAAACCTATAAACATTCCAGAATCCTACGCCCCCAGCATTCCTAAACTCATCAGCCCGAGAATCCCTAAACTTAGGGTTTAGGGTTTAGGGGGCCTAAACCTAAAGTAATTCCTAAACCGAAAACACTTCCTAAACCTAAAATAAGGCCAAAACCGAAAAATATTTCCTAAACCTAATTTAAGCAAAATAACTCCTAAAACCTCAACCCCACAATCTCTAAATCTGAAAAAGCACGGGGCACCCAAAGGCTGTGGCTGCCGGAGCGCTGCTGAACGCTCTGTCGTTTGCGGGTTTGGAGGCGACATCGTTCGCCGATGTTCGGTGAAGGGCTTTAGGGGTTTATAGGGGTTTAGGGGTTTAGTCGAACACCCAGAGGGCTTGGGGTTCGTTTAAGGCTTCAAGGGTTCCTTTTTAAGGGATCCTTTTAAGGGATCCTTTAAGGAGAAGACTGGAACTTGCCCAAGCGCCTCATTGAAGTCGCCTGAAGTGTGCCAGTTCACAGGTATTTCACAATTCAATGTATGCAAAGGACGGTCATTCATAGCGGCGTATGAGGGTTTGTAATGGTTTGTAGTAGAATCACGTTTGTCGCTGTTAGGTGCCTGAATTTTGAGTAGTTCCCGAAATTAGGGTCGCTTTGGGGATCCTTTTTATAAGGGTGCCGTACTATATTGGGGGCCTAAGAAAGGACCATAATTTAGAGAACTACCCATTTGCTAGCTGTCAATTTAAAGTTTGCCCTCCCATTGTTGATCTGGTGGGAACTGGCAAAACCTGAGCATCCCCAGCTGTTCACGTCATAGTATGTTATTTGATACTATACTATACCATACTATACTAGACTATACTATACTATACTATACTATACTATACTATACTATACGATACTACATTGCATTTCATTATATATATATATACATATCATTATACATTACATCATATTGTATTTTTACTTCTATGTCGTATAAAGACTTGTAGCCGGTGCGAAATGTGAAGGACCCGGTCATGGCCACTCGGATCTGTAGGCATCGGCTCCGACTCCCAGAGCGTCGATTTTCCAGCACTTAACCCAAAGGGTCCAAGGTACCTATATAGTAGAATGTAGGGTTTCTATACTAGGAGTTGTTATTATGAGTTGGGAAAGTATCACCCATAACAGTACCTAGGACCCTTTGGGTAATTCAGGTGCATCAAAGGGCGTATACTAGGAACCCCCGCCAGGGCCGCACTTGGGGGCGGGGGGGGCTTAGGGTTAGGGTTTAGGGTTTAGGGTGTTTTGTAGTGATGGAGCTTATGCCTTGGATGCCATTCTTGATCCTCTTGGTGGCCATTCACTGGAGAACAGCGAGCGATGATCTCAGGAAAATGTGCCGTAGTGTGTGGAGCTTTTGCCAGCAACCCCCATCTCCGAAGCCGAGCAGTCAACAAAGGCGTCTCGATGAAGCCATGAACCAGTTAAGGGAGAAGAATTATGTGCTGGCAAGCCGATTCTTGCGGCAAGTCAACTTTGTTTCGCTGGTCACATGTCCACTTATGAACGCGAACGATCTGCCAACATGCGCCGCTCAAATGTTCGCGTATGTTTGCGCCTACACGATGCACACCTGCATAGCGAATGGGATTGTCAGATTGTCTACTTCTGGCCTACGCCGGCTCTTCGTTTTCTACTACTTCTTGGGCGGCGCAACTTTTCTGTTGAATAGTGACTTCTCTGTGGGCATACTCTTGGGATACAAGGTCATTTTATGCGTTTGCTATGTTGACAGCGCAGTTCACGTCCCGGCGAACGTTCTGCTTGCAGTGATGGAGATTGGTCATCATGTTATGCTGTCTGGCAGAGAGTTCCACGTCCTCGAGTTTGCCATTGATCGTGCAGTTTTCGCGATTCTCGCCTCGGGCATCTCTGTCGTGTTGGAGCGTACTCTCAGAGATCGCCTAGCAGCGCAAATCAGGAACATGGACTCTGAATCCATTATCCTGGCTTTTCGTCAGATGCTTCGAGCTGTCTGTGACGGCGAAGTCCTTCTCGACGATGGTCTGTGCATACAAGAAGGTAGCAATTGCCTGAACCGGATTTTGTTTAGAAAGGAATCCCTTGACAAGACGGCCTTTCGCAACATCCTAGTTCAGGACTCCAAACCCTAAACCCTCTAGGGTTTAGGGTTTAGGGTTAAACTCTAAGTAGGCCCTAAACCCTTGACAAGACGGTCTTCCACAACATCCTAGTTCAGGACTCGAGCGAGCTTGAGGCCTTTGACAAGTTCATCTCGCAGCCGCTGGACGCTGGCAAAACAGCTGGGCAACTTGCTGCCCCATGTTTGCGTCTGTCTCTACAGTCGCTAGGTTATTCAGTGATCTGTTTTTACTTTTTGTTGTCTCTGGATTTCTATTTATCGCATGTCAAATGACTAGCCCAAAACGTATCTATAGATCTTCCCATGGGATACTGATCAACCGAGGTCCCCTAAACCCTACACTGTGGATCCTTACAGTCAGAATCCGACTGTTTCAGGTGTTTTGTTTTTCTGGGATCCCTTGCGTATCCTTGTTTGAGGTCTTGGGGTCCTAGGTTTGTTTTTTGGATTGGGGTCCTTAAAGTCCGGATCCCTTTGTCTTGCGCTCCACTGGAATTCCATCCCAGAGTCAAGTGGTTATTTTTCGAATAGTTCTCTAAAGTAGCATCCCTGCTTGGACTACAATTATAAACCTAGGTCGGCTCATGCCCATCGAGTTGGGGTGGACGTCTACCACGTGGCCTTACAACATCTTTTCGGTTGTGAGGGCTCCTACCACCTCCTTGGCTTAAAGCTCCTTAGACAGCCAATGGAAGAACGTGAAACGCTTTTCAACCTTATATACCTAGACGCTCCACCCTAAGTACATCTACATACCCATTATTTGGGACCATATACCCCCGCTTGGGGTACAAGGAATGTGCTGGTAGTTGGGTCTTTTCATTGAAATTTTGAGCTTTTTTGGGGGTCCGACTATTGGAGAAGAGAGGCTCGATGTAGAGATGCAGTCCATCCCTGATGCCGCCTGTTCTTCCACGCCGGTGCTCACGCAGCCAGCGCAAAGTGCCGGGAGGCGATATCTATCAGGACAGAGCTCCCTGCTCCCAATGCTTAGGGTTTACTGGTTGAGGGAGTACCCATAATTTCCATGGTAGTTCCAATTTGTGATTTAAGTTAACCCGTTTTATCCTATAAGAAAACCCAAAAAATTGAAAGTATTTTTCAAGGGATACTAGAGGGGTGGTAGCCTTTTGCCTTTTTTGCTTCAGGATTTCCTCTTTAAACCTGACTATCAGGAAAAGGGAACCTTCACAGAAAAAGGGCTATTGGGGAACCGAGGACCACGATCCAGCCGATCGGTTACATCATCCCTGCATCGGACCATGTCGAACCTGGAAGAGATCATGATACTTGTTCCTAGACCGTTCGCGAAAACAGCTTTCATATTTTCAATCTTCTTCAGAAGCAACCCGAGTCATTGTATCAAGCTATAGTATAGTAGAGTAGAGTATAGTGTAGTAGAGTATAGTAGAGTAGAGTATAGTATAGTATACTATAGCTTTGCCTAGTCTAGGCGAGAATAGTAGACCATACTACTTTTTGAGAAATACTATACTATACTACGCTGTACTTGTCAGAAAGCATACTATAGCATACTACACCATAATATACCATACTATAGCTTACTATGCCATACAAAACCATACCATACTAAACCTCACCATAGCAGATCGTACCATATCCTACCATACTGTACCATACTATATTAGTGTGTTGTATAGTAATTTATGTAATCACTAGTAATATTGCTAATGCTATAGTCCATTCTGTGTTATGCAATATAGTGTAGAGTGTAGTATATTATATATGTATTTCATACTTTCATTATGTTCGATATGACATTCTATCTTAGTTTGCATATTGCATGATACAGTAGACTATAGTATTATCCTATACAGTACAGTACTTTACGATGCATGTCCTTGTTAGATCTTATGTCGTAACATACTAAATTCTGTAATTTTCTACTATATTACTTCAATACATAATTTAACGGCATTACGGTTCTAATGGTATGGTAGTAAATTAAGTCATATGATATCATATCTTATTCTTTTCTGTTATGTCATATAGCCTAGTTTAGTCTGTTCTGTTCTACGTAGATGTGTTTGTTAATGTTATGTTGGTTACATTATGTATATTATGTCGGTTGTCTTGTTTAGATTCTGTTGCGTTCTTGTTATCTTGTAGTATGGTGTACTAGTTTGCATGCTGTCATGCTGTATTATACTACAGCACGTTCGATATGATATGCTATGTTGCGATATGATATGGTATCATATGGTATGGTACGACATGATATGATAATGTTATATATATATGTGTGCAGAACATGTAGCATTTTATGTTGGGTCTCATTATATACCACTACACTCTTCTATGTTGTATTGCATTGTATCGTATCCTGCTGTACGATAGTTCATGCAATGTTAAAATCTATAATACATTTGTTATGCTATATACTATTTTTACACGCCTTGCACGCTAAACCTTAGCTTCAAGAAGAGCCGAGGTTCGCAACGTGGACCAGCAGCCGGTAAGGCAGATCCATCTGAAGCACCGGTTTCGGATTTAGGGTTTAGGGTGTAGGATTTAGGATTTAGGGATTAGGGTTAAACCCTAAACCCTAAACCCCTAGACCCTACATAAATCCTATAAGAGCCAGAAAGGCAGATCCATGTGAAGCACCGCGAGCCTCAAACTTTCACGGCGACGTCTGCGCACGAGGAAGTGCCGTGCTTGCGGAGTTTCGTCCGTCCAACCGACTGGGAAACTTAGTTCTGCAATGGCCCCTTTAGGGCTCCTTGAAGGGATCTGTTCAGGGTTTAGGGTTTAGGCTTCTATACGTTAAAGGTACTGTAAGGGTTCTAGATGGGTAGTTCTCTAAATTAGGGTTCCTTTTGGGGAGGTCTTTTTAAAAAGGGTGCCGTACTATGTTGGGGACCCCAAAAGGGACCCTAATTTAGAGAACTACCCCAATACCCAATCGGTTCCAGGGTCCCATGTGCTGTGATCGGGGACACATCCCTAAACCATAATAGTAACTCCTGATATAGAAACCCTACATTCTACAGAAAAAGGTACACAGGGTCCTTTGGGTTCGTACCGTTTAGGGTTTCGGATTAACTTTTTCATGTTTGGCCGTCTCGGCCTCAGAGGATGTTATTTGCGGATATTTTCAGAGTCTTCAATTAACCCTAAACCCTAAACCCTAAAAGCCCTAGGAAACGCTTCGTCGCTCCATCGCCACATACTCGGATAAACGTGGGGAAATGGACTTGCCTGGGCTCTGGGTGAAGGCCTTCAGCAGACAGTCAGGCTTTATGAAAGCACGACGGGCGTCTCTGAAGCTAGGCAGCACTTACGGTTAACTTGTAGCCGGAAAGACCTACTTTGTTAGGGTTCCCTATAGTGATTTCTATATATGCTTCCTTAAACAAGGTAGGTTTTTTCGGTTACAGGTAGGGTTTCGGGTCTAGGGTTTAGTAGTTTAGGGTTTCGGGTTGAAGACAACCCAGGAAGCCTTGTCAGGATGTTTCCAGATCAAGGCGCAATTGCTTTTGGCTGCATCTTCGCGAGCTTCAGCTGGAAGAAGCGAACAATTGGACTCCAAGCGAGCCGGACTTAGCCGAGATGCCATGTGAGAGCACGGTCTGATTCGAAAGGCCCGCACAACTTGGCGTGATCGGTTTTTACCCTATAACCTAAACCCTAAACCCTGTGACCCAAACCCTAAACCCTAAAGCTCGTATGGACAAGTGCGACAAGGGCACAGTCCATTGCTCGCCTCGAAAGAGGATTCCGTAGCCGAAGACCGCTCGTGCAGACGGAAAAGGGCCCTTAAAAACAAAAAAACCCTACGAGCGAGGAGCACAGTTGCCCAGCCCTAAACCCTAAACCCTAAAACCCTAAAACCCTAAGCCCTAAACCCTAAAACCCTAAACCCTAAACCGTGAAAACTCTGACCTCGACTTGTCATGCCATGGTAAGGGAGCGGCTGCCCATACTAACATGAAAGGTGTCCGGCTGAATTTCTATACTTTAAACTTTTTGGGATAATATGATCTCTTATAGAACTGAAAGTAAACATGAAAGGTATGAATCGCTGTTGGTAATAGTTCTATACTGGATCCCAAAACCTATTTCGAACTGCTAAGGTGACTACTGTTCATGATATAAATCCTGCATTACCTTAAGGACCCTTTGGGAAGTTATGGGTATATGCCTTATTATGGGGTAATGCAGGATTTATATCATCAACCGTAGTTCCTTAACCTAAACCCTAAACCCTTAAACCCTTAAGCCCCAAACCTTAAACCCTAGACCCCTATAAATAAATCCTATATCATCAACCGTAGGGCACCTACGTTACCCTCTGAAGTGCAGGGAATGCTGGCGGATAAGCTTCCACAGCCCCGCATGGCCCGTACCTTCAGTCTCTCCTAGACCCTAAACCTCTACATTCTAAAGCCTGAACCGCCAAATCATACTCCCTGAATCCCCTAGACCCTAAATTCTGAACCCCTGAACCCCTAAAGCCTCAACCCTAGATTTTAAACCCCTAAATGCTAAACCCTAGATTCCAAAAACCCTGAACCCTAAATTCCAAACCCCTAAACGCACGCTAAACCTTAAATTCTAAACACCAAAAACCCCCTAAGGCGGAGAAGCCAGGTCCCTCCAGTACATGTGGAGGCTTCGAATCCCCAAGACTCGAAATAGCCGGGTTTAAGGTTCAGGGGTTTAGGGTTTTTTTAGGGTTTAGTCTAGGACATTTTCAGGTGGGTAGTTACCGTTATAGGAGCCTTACAGAAGGTCTATATGGCTTATAGAAGCCTTATAGAAGCCCTATATATCCTAAACTCCCCACCTGTAGCTTCCTTTGATTTAGGGGTTTAGGGGTTTAGAGACTTGCAGGCACGATCTCTTCGACTCGAGACGCCCGAAGGTAGGTAGTATTTGTATACTAATCGGGGCCGTAAGAATTAGAATATTTTTTTTTTTTCTTTGGGGGGGGGGGGTATATTTTAGCTATACTTATAATAAGGAACCCCCTCCCAAAACCCTATTTCTAATGATTAAGGCCCTCACATTCCCTGGATTAGGTTTTAGGGTTTAGAGTCATTCTGAGAGTGCAGGGTGGGGTGAAGGCAAACAGACGGCAAGAACCCGCCCAGGGCAGCAACTGGCGCGAAGGATGTAAACACCAAACTTCACTAAACCCTAAACCCCCTAGACCCTAAACCCTAAACCCCGAAACCTTAAATCCGTCCTAGAAAAGCCAACATATTCATATACAGCACTCTATCAGTTGATGATATAAAACCTACATACCCCAAAGGGAAGGAATATACCATGACTTCCCATGGTTAAGGGCCCTTAAGGTAATGCAGGATTTGTATCATCAACAGTAATTTTAGCCTGAATGACTACGCAGTACTTGGCTGCAGTGTTCCGACACTCGAAGCCCTAAACCCTTCATCCGAAAGAGCCCTAAGTACCTATGTGGTAGTATGTAGGGTTTCTATATCGGAATTACTATGGTAATTTCAATCTTGTCGTGAACAGTGATGGCGACGATGCGTGCTGCTAAGAGGTTTGACTATATCATGGAACCATAGCGAATGACATGACATGTGCGAGCTGGCAGCAATAAGGTCAGCAGCAGAGATGATCTGGTCAGGATCGGCAGCACCAAATTAGTCGCAGTACTGCAGGATCAGGATGGAGATGAACTATTGAAAGCATCATCCGCAGCATAACAGTCCTTGCAAGCTTTCGTTTGCGAACATGCGCACAACAAGAGGCATCCGGCATGCTGCAAGTAAGGAAAGGTTTACAAGCCGGTGCTGACTTGGACAATCTTCATTGCCGCATCCCTGCACCCTAAACTCCTTAGCCCTACACACGAAGGCCGAAACTCTAGACCGCCTACCTGTAACCCCAAACCCTACAAAATAGTAGGTTATGACCCCTTAATCATAGGGTCGAACCCTTAACACGGTAGGGGTTTGGATTCACAGGTATAAGCCGCCCTAAACCCTAAACCCTAAGCCCTAAGCCCTAAACCCCTAAACCCCTAAACCCTAAACCCTAAACTCCTAAACCCTAAACTCCTAAACCCTTCTACAAACAGTAAGCACAGAAAGCTCCAGGTTTCCAACTGTGCCGAGCTCTGCCGCGACAGTGACCAGAAGGGCCTCTGCCGCAGCGTGGCGGCAAGCCTTTTCGGTTATTTAGGGTTTAGGGTTTAGGGGTCTAGGGGTTTAGGGGTTTAGGGTTTTAGGGTTTAGGGGTCTAGGGTCTAGGGGTTTAGGGTTTAAGGGGTTTCGGGTTTAGGTTCGTTTTGGAGGGCACAAGCTGTTGGCCGACGGTGGGTGTCCGGGCTTTGGGGTCTTGCCTGTAGTCAGCCAAACCTACCTTTGCATACAAGGAATCATAACTGTAACGGAAATCTCAGTAACTTATTATGACAAGCTACACAAGCTTTAACAAAAGTGTAGTGCTCAAGGTTTCTAGTCCTGCTACAGCTCTAGCAATATGTATCCGAAATCGTAACCCTACCCAGAGGGTCCAAGTACTCAACTAGTAGGGTTGCAAGGTCCGAAAACCACGCAGAGTATGGATTTTGGGACCTAAAACCTTACTATTTGGATACTCGGACCCTCTGGGGAACCCTAAACCCTAAACCCCAAACCCTAAACCCTAAGGTATTAAGGTTCTATATAATATAGTATATGGCACTATCTTTACTGTTTGGGTTCTACCCTACACCTCTGAACACTCTATCTGTAAAGCGCTACATATGATGGGTGGAATCTCTGCTGCGCTTGAAGCAGGTTCCGAGTCTACAAATCCTTCTGCATGCGAGATCCAGCATCAGAGCAAAAGGCACCCTCAATACCATAGAAGTACCGCAACTACTGGGGCACAAACGTTGAATATTATAATCCTTGGGTCTTTATCCTGGGTGACCCAAAATCTCAAAGCCCCGAAGCTGAACCCTACATTTTTTCACCACTCACATGAGGCTTCCAGCGAGGGCTGCGATTTGTTCTTTCTTAACTTTTCAGTATGAGTGATGGTCGCGTCATGCCGCCGAAGGCCAGCCTATTCACTACCTTGATTCCATACCCTCCTTGGTCTAAGAAACAATGCCTCCTAAACCCAAAACCCAAAACCCCAAAACCCCTAAACCCTAAACCCCCTAGCCCCTAAACCCCTAAACCCTAAACCCCCAAAACTGGCCTGAGACGCAGATCCGATGGAGAATGAAGCCAGGCCGGGAAAACGGCCGAGGAATCCTCGAGTCGTCCGCCTGGGTTGGCCTATTAGGGTTTGGGGTTTAGGG